GAGAGAGAGAGAGAGAGAGAGAGAGAGAGAGAGAGAGAGAGAGAGAGGAAGGCAGAGGGAGAGAGAGAGCAGGTGTCAGAAATCCTCCCCTTCATCTGCTTGTCATTTACTCCTTTATGTTCTCTCGTCGTCTGGCGAGGTGATTGGTTTTCTGATGCCGGCGTTCCTCTGCACATAGGCCCTCTGCAATCCAGAGAAAAACAAGAGGTGGGCAGACAGAAGAAAGCAAAAAACAGACAGCATAAAAGGAAAGGCGGGGCCCTTTTCAAGAGACTAATTTCCCCCCTCTTCCTTTTCTAAATTGTCAAGACGGGCTGTTGTTGTATCTTTCACTTTTTTTCTTAAAGTTAAAGAGAGGAAAAAGAACCTGCAGACCAATCAATCCCTCGTTTCTTTGTGCACAGAACTGAACCTCTTCTTTCATCAATTGTTGATTTTTCTTGCCTTGCTCAAAAGGGATTATTTTCTCCACCCGAGTACAAACACTGGAATCCTCCAGGTTCCCTCTGTGTCCTCACCCCCCAATGACACAGTGTGAACCCCTCTGACTCCTCCACGGTGCCCCCCCCTCAGCTGAAGTGCTAAAACCCTGTGGTCTCAGATCTCCATGCCTGTGTTGACTCACTACTACAACGATAATATGGCACAGCGCTTCTGATACCGTCTGATTCATTCTGTAAGTAGGACTCTCTCTCTTTGTGTGTGTGTGTGTGCGTGTGTGTTCAGATGTCATTAGCGTGTATTTAGCTCATGTATGCAGAAACACCGGCGTGGTCCGTCTTCCTGCAGTGTTGGTTTTGTGGTGTCTTCACAGCGGATTTGCTTTCTTGTGCTTCCTCTGCTCCAGGCAATTTGAGCATGTGTGTGTGTGTGTGTGTGTGTGTGTGTTTGTGTGTGCCAAAGAAAGAGATTTTGATCTTACAGCCAAGCTTACAACAGCATCAGAGTGGTGTCAGAAAGAGGCAAAGGAGCTGCCTTTCCCTGTGTGTGTGGATCTGTCTCTGTGTGTGTGTGTGTGTGTGTGTGTGTGCATGCCAACATATTGGTCCTGAGGTTAATTTGAGCTAATTAGTGGTGAGTATTTTTGCTTCTCAGAGAATTTTTGGGTCTTGTGTCAGTGTACTTGCATTCATTAGGGTGAGATGGAAAGGGGCTAAAACTGAAGAGGGCAAACCAGCTAATGGGAATGACTGTGATTCCCTGACTAGTTCTTTGTTGCCTCCATTTCACGTTTAATGCCCTGAGCATTCCACCCCGGCTGCAGATAATTTCAGCCTCCTTTTATCTCCTTATGTGTTGCCTTGGATGAAACCATATACTGAAACCCGGCCTCTGCAATGGCCTGCGTATTACTAAGCCCATCTATCTCCGTGGACACATCCACATCTTTATACACTACCACAGTCACCAGGCCCTGCACCGAGAGACGCTCAATCAAGATAGTCCCTTCAAACAGACCAATGAACTGTGAATAACGCCATTACACAAACTCCCAGCTCAGAGCGTAACAGGGACAGAAAGATTGGGAGGGTGGAAAAAAAAAAGGAAGGAAGGAAAAAAGGCGAGAGAGGGAGAATGAGAAACATGCTGGAGATTGAAGAGCAATAACAGAAGGGGAATGAGAGAGAGAGACAGAAAGCAACAGAGAGGAGGACACAGAGAGGAGGGAGGGTGAGAAACGGAGAGGGGAGAAGGGCGGGTGTAGGTCTAGAGGGGCCGCGGAGCAGGAAAAGACCTCTGCTCCATGGGAGCGCTCTGATGGGCTTAGCAAGACCCCGCTTTGTTCACACTGTTGGTCAGCCTCTCAGAATTAAGATTACTAAATAATACGATTACTGCAGCTGCACGCTGATAACACACTGCCGCCGATCCCCCTTTTGTCACTGTCAGAAAACCCAGAGAAGAGAGGAGGACTGGCATATGACGACATCAAAGGCATGGCAGCACTGACTGCATTACACTGTCACAAAGGGCCCGTGCTTCACAACATCCCTTCTCCGCTCGCCGCTGAGTGAAAGTGGAAAGACACGGTGTGACTTTTAATATGACAAGTGGCCGTATGCAAAGGGACGCCGAGGCAGAAATAATGTTAGCCCGGGTTTTGATCATGTGACATAAATCTTGACTCGCCTTATATTTTCTCCGGTTGTTGATGTTGCGCTGTCAGCTCCAAAAGGGACTAAAAAGCAAGTAAACAGAGGAACCTCTCAGTATATGACCTGATTCCACATGTGTAAACATAAACCACGGCTCTCACGGTGAGACGTCGGCCCCCTTATCTCGATGTTTTACACCGCACCCTCTGCGTGGGCTATTTGTTTCATGGACGCTTGACAGCTTTGACACAGATTCCTGCCAAGTTGACCTTGCAGTTTAAAGTGTAATAAAAGCTGAATTCCCAGGCTGTGTTGCACATCGATATGTGTTCTTCTGGTAGCTGATAAATGGTCTCGCACCCCTCTCTGGAGAGTGGAAAAACAAGCAGGCAGCAGAAACCGCTGTCCAGTTCTGCTCAGCGGAAGTAAAGTACAACCGTCTGAAACCCACTGCTCCCAGAGTAGCGAGCTAATATCCGGGTTGGGCTCGTCTCAAACCCCCCTCCAAGAGATAAAAAGTATCTCCGCGCTCCTCTCAGCAGGAGCAACCATTTGCCTGCAGAGCTTAAGATTAGCTGGGAGCAGGAAATAGAAAAGGATGCATTTAGCATGTGATGTTATAGTAACAAATAACAAACTGGAGCGGAGGGCACAAAACAAAATCAATGAAATATGACACACGGCACAAACATGCAGCTTCAAACAGCCCCAAACCAAAGCACGTTGGCAACCATTCATTTCCGTTTTTCTCTTCCTGTGCAGCACATTTGTCATCTAATGGAGGTTTCTTGTACATGTCATGGAGTGTATTTGCTTCAGTGACATCGAATGAACTTTGACACCGGACCCTCCCCAGCTGAGCCCCACAGTCACAAAGTAACTGTGTGAGTCATTCAGCAGAACCAGTACAGCTCCAGTCAAAAAGCATCCACGTATTCACATACACTCTGTGTCCAGACATGCAGAAACAGAAGGGCAATATGGACACGATGTGTCAAATGATCAGTTGTGTGTTTCCTGTCATTCGGTCTCCCCTTTTTTAAGTGCTTTTCACCGCAGCAGTATACTGAGTTGGTACAGTATGCCCCAATCATTTCACTCGACCTGATCTATAGCAGAGAGTCACACGGTTCATATGATATTCCTCCGCGTTGGGTTTCAGAGCTTCCCAGTGCCCCTGTTTGTTACCAGTGAGGTCCTTTCAGATCAGTGGTCCCATCATCATCCCTCAGGGTTGGATTTTGTAATTGCATATTGCAGATTTGTATTTGCTGGTTTCCAATTCACAACAGCGTTCCTTGATGATTCTCTACTTACTGTTAAGGCAAAAAAAACATTTCCTCATTTGCCTGCATCATTAATCGTTTTGCAGTTCTTTGGTGGGAACAGCTGTTGTTTCTTTAAAGGTGATCAGCAGCTGTTGTTTCTTTAACTGAGCTGTAACGTAGCAGGCAACGCTTCTCAAAAAGGTCCATGTAGCTTTGTGGTGTTATCGCAGGGAAAGATAACTGCAAGACTGTGATCAACGCTGAATCCATCATTTTCTGTGACTGGCATCTGCTATCGTGCCCCATGCTGCCTCTCGCGTGGTAGTTCACCCCTGAAGTGTCTCAGACAGCCTCTGCTCCGAGGAGAGCAGGGCTTAATTTGGGACGTGAGATCTGTTCTAACACTGAGCAGCACTTCGGTTTCCTCTGCCTTCAATCCTCCGCCCGCTTGACCACCAGCGCGAGGCACTGCAGCCTGCACTAAACCTTTGCTCCTCATTGCCTAATGGAGCACAGAAAATGGCCCTGTTTGCCTAGTCGTTTGTCCACTCCTGCCTGCAGGCTAGCTGGCCTTGGAGGGAAAGATTGAGTGAGTGTGTGTGTGTGTGTGTGTGTGAGCGAGCGAGGAGGATGACAACAATTGGACATTAGGACACACATGCCCTTTCCATAATGTGCTCCCGGCTGGGCAGTTTGAATGGCCATAAAGCGAACGCTGCTAATGGCCTCTCGGTTAATGGAGTCATTAAGATTGGATTGCAAGAAGATAAAAGAAATGTGTATAATGTGTGTGAACCGGGTGGAAGTGTGGTCGTTTGTATATTTGTACTGTTACTGGAACCGCTTTTGTGTGTTTCTAGTTATTTAGTGCGTCAGAAGATACACCCAGGAGATGCATCCAGGACAACACTAAAGGAGGCAAGTGACACTCTTTTACATTAGCTTCAGCAGAAAAGGTCAGTATTCTATCAGTGTAATTGTAATACGGTCTGAGGCTCAGTCCTGACCCGGCTCGTCCTAATCAGCCGGCTGGCGGAGGCTCAGAAAGTCACAGCTATAAGGTTTCACCGCTAGAGTGCCGCTGCCTTGTGTGAGCGTGTGAGCGTCGTGACAAAGGCTGGAAGGCTTGATTTGAGGTTATGTCAGGACGCGTCCCCGAGAGAATGTGGCAAGGCCGGCGAAAGGCATTCTGGGTAGTGTTGCGTGTTGTTTTCATGGTGGCATGACTGCTCATTAATTCTATGTCAATTTCTTGATTCTTACCGGAGGGTTTGCTCATGTCACTGTGCTCGTCATGTTTTTTAAACTTCAGCTGCGGTCCAGCTTGCCTCGTTCACGTGTTGTATTCAATGAAATGCAGCCGTCATTGCACCACAAGGGGAAGCTAGTTTGTAGGCAGACCTAACAATCTTTATATTGAGCCCAGATGGAGGGTCAATAGTTTGACCAACACACAACTTTGCAAAGCACTTAACTCAAGATAGAGGTGTTTTTCACTACACTGTTTAACACGCACTCATGGGTAATAACCATATTTACCTGTCCAATGGTGTCAGTCCATGTATCAGAGTGAAATGGAGCACCTTTTAATCTGATCAGTTACTGAGCGGGCGAAGCCCG